ATTGGTACTTTCATATACATTTTATAATGGACTTATTAATTGTTACAAAGAGAGCCTACTAAAATTTCACATTGAATCTATAGACAAATTTGGGGAGAACTGACTTCTTGACAACATGGAGTCTTGTAATCTGTGAACACAGTCTATTTCTCCATACATTTATGTCTTCAACTTATTTCAGCAATATTTTGTCATTTTCAGTGTATAGGTCTTGCACATCTTTTGTTAAATTTATACCTAAGTATTTTTGTCATTTTTGTAAATTAATGGTTTCCAATTTCATTTTCTAATTTTTTGCTGCAAACTAATAAAATATAAAATCAATTTTTATATATTCACCGTGTAACATGTGATCTTGCTAAATTCATTCATTAGTTCTAATTGTAGTTTTGTAGATTCTTTAGAATTGTTTGCACAAAAAAATTATCGCCTGCAAATAGACACAATTTTACTTCTGTCTTTCTCATCTTTAAAAGCTTTATTTCTTTTTCTTGCCTTAGTGTAATGGCTGGGACTGATAGTACAATGTTGCATAGAAGTTATAAGAGTGGGCATCCTTGCCTTGTTTCCAAACTTGCTAGGAAACCATTCCATATTTCATCATTAAAGATGCCCTTTATCAGGTTGAAGAAGTTCTTTTCTGTGCTAGATTGCTGAGAGTTTTTATTGTGAACATATATTAAATGTTGTCAAATACTTTTTCTGCATCTATTGAAAAATCGTATGGTTTTTCTACTTTATTCTCTTAATGGGGTATATTATATTAATTTTTTGAATATTAAACCAACCTTGTATTCCCAGGATAAGTCTCCCTTGCTCATGATGTTTTATTCCTTTTAATATATTGTTGGATTTAATCTGCTGATATTTTGTTATAAATTTTAGCATCTATGTTCATGAGGGATGTTGGCCTATAGTGTTCCCTTTTGCAATATCTTTGTCATGCTTTGGTATTAGAGTTTTGCTGGTACCATAAACCAAATTGGGAGGTGTACCCTGTCCTCCTCTAGTTTTTAAAAGTTTGTGAAAGTTTGATATTATCTCTTCTTTAAATGTTTGATAAAATTTATCAGTGAATTACCCGGGCCTATAATTCAGATTCTCTATTTCATCTTGTGTAAATTTTGATGATTTATATTTATATAAATTTGTCCATTTCAACTATTTTGCAGAAATTATTAGTATAAAGTTCCTTAAACTATTCTTATATTCTCTTTTTAACATTTTAATATCTGTGATTTCTGTGGTGATAAGTCCTCTTTCATTCCTGATATTAGTAATTTTTGTTCTCCATTTTTCTTACAAAGTCTGAAAATTTATCAGGTTTTATATTCTTTACAAAGAACTAACTTTAGGGTTTACTCATTTTTTTAATTGCTTATCTGTTTCTCATTACATTGACTTCTGCTCTTTATTATTTTCTTTGTTTTACTTACTTTGGTTTACTTTGGATTTGAGGTGGAATTTTAAATCACTGAATTTAAACCTTTCTTCTTTTCTAATGTAAGAAGTCAAAGCCATAAAACTCCCTCTAATCACTGTTTTAGTTTATGTTGTAGTTTCCCTATCATTAAGTTTTAAATATTTTATCATTTCTCTATGATTTCTTCTTTCACCTATGGCTTATTTAGAAGTGCAATATATTTATTTGGATTTGTCCTAGATAACTTGTTTTAATTGTCCTAGATAACTTATTTTAATTGATTCCTAATTTAATTACATTGTGATCAGAGGATCTATCCTACTATTATTTCAATCCTATAATTTATTTTAGGATTTGTCTTATAGCCTGGGATATGGTCCTTGTTGGTGAGTATGTACAGCTGGAAAAAATGTGTATTCTCCAGTTGCTGGGTATAGTGTTCTATAGACATCAATTAGGCTGGGATGTTGATATGGCTGCTCAGATTCCCTATGACTTTACTGAATTTTTTGTCCTGCTTTCTACCAATTGCAGAGAGAGTATTCAAATACCCCACAATAATTGTAAAATGTTCTATTTCTTCTTTTATTCTGTCAAGATTGTCAAGATTTGCTTTATGTATCTTGAGGATCTATTCTTAGGCACATATGCATTTATGATTATGACTTCCTTATTAATTGACTCTGTTTTTAAAGTTCATCTCCTCTAGTCAGCATAGAGTTGGATCTTGCTTTTTAAAGAACAGTCTATTCTGGTAATCTCTGCCCTTTAATTGGGATATTTTGTCCACTACCATTTAATGTAATTATTAATAGGATTATTAATAGACTGCATTTCTTTTTTGCTGTCCACTTCGTTTTTAGTTCCTCTGTTCCCCCTTTCCTACCTTTTAAAATTGTTTGAATACATTTTATAATTTTGTTTTAACTTATTTGTTAGATTTTTAGATCTATCACATTGGATTCGTTTTTAAATGGCTGATCTGATTATCACACAAACATCCTTCTGTTTTCACAGTATATTTAGTTAATATTGCATTTCTTTACATAAAATGTAGAAACCTTGAAACAGCATAAGTCCATATACCACTCCCTCACCACCACTGATAGTCCATAGTCATTTGAGTCATGGCCCCGTAAGTGATGGGTCATTTTTCTCTGGGTACTTGCAAGATTTTCTCTTTATCTTTGGTTTTCAGGAAGTTAATTATGATGTGCCTAGATAGGATTTTATTCAAAATTATCCTGTTTGGAATTCACTGTGCTTTTGGATCTATAATTTATATCTTTCAACAAATTTGGAAGTTTTTCAGCCAGTATGTTTTCAGATATATATTTTTTCTGCCCCATTATCTTTGTTATCTACATCTGGGACTGTAATTAACTGCATATGGAACATTTGTATATTGTCCCATATGTCCCTGAAGCTTGTTCATTTTTTCAACTTTTTTTTCCTCTTGTCTTTAGATAATTTCTATTGATCAATCTTCCAGCTCACACACTCAGCCATTCATTAGGAGAGTGGACTTACATTCTACCAGGCCTGTTTTCGGTTTAAATTTGAGGCCACAGCTTAGATGTTAAAGTACAATAGAAGTTTATTATGCTAAGATTTAAGAGCTTAATAGAAGTTAAAAGTTTTAAGTTAAGAGTTTAATAGAAGTTAAACTTTTAAAACTATTTAAAAGTTTAATGGAAATATAAAGTACAATAGAAGTTTATAATGATAAGATTTATTAATATTAACCATGTAATAACATGATTTCAAATAACATGATTCAAAATCTATCCTCACCTTGACTCCTCTTTAAAGAAAAGGCTGAGATTTGGCAATGAGTTTGTAACTAGGAGCTAGGGATCTGGTTAGGAGATAGACACTCAAGCAGAGCATACAACATGGTGTGAGCAGGTGCAAAACTCTAGACATGAACAAAGCACCATGGGAGCACAGAGGTGCACTTTGTTGCCACTACCCCAGGGAGTCAGGGAAAGCCTTCAGAAAGTCGGTATTTTATTAGACAATTTAGATAGCAAGAAAAGCCAGGCTTTGCCAAAAAGAAAGAAGAACACTCTAGGTAGAAGGGCTCTGGGAAAGGCCTGTCATGGTTTGGGAAGAGGGAGAAAAGGGAAGGACATGATGCTCATGTCCCCCAAAAGGGCAGTGATGGTGTAGGAGGCCAGAAGAATAGCCTGTGTCAGGCCGCCCTGCACTGAAGACTAAGCAGAGAAGAAGTATGTGCTTGTTGCATCATATGAAGGTTCTGATGGTGAGGAGTAGTGCTCCTCCTTTATCCTGTGAAGAATAAAATAAGCTCTTTGTTCTCAAAGAACTCTCAAACTGCCTTAAAAAAAAAAATCAATCTACGTGAAACAAAAAGAAGCAGAACACTCACCACCATTCCAATTCTGGCCACCATCTCTCACTTCGGCTGCAATACCCTCTGAAGGGCCTCCCTGTTATTACCTTTGCCCACCTCCAGTTCATTTCCATATTTGCAGAAAATCACCTTCTTAAGACATAAATCAGAATATGCCCATCCATTGTTAAAATCCATTCAGTGGCTTCCCACTACATGTAGGATGTTCTGTGTCCGTGCCACTGCCCAACCTCACTCATCACACTTAGTCACAACAGCCTTCTGGCTGATCCCAGTCAGGCCACACTCTCATGGGCATTAGAGCTTTGTGTTGCCTGTGGCATCTGTCACTGTTGCCACTTTCCTCCCAGCTCTGCATGGGGCTGGCTCCTTCTCTGCCTTTAGATCTAGCATAACTCTTCTCCTCAGACAAACCTTCCCATTAAAGCCCATTCTAATGCTCAATGTATTCCATTCAAAGCATTAACAATTTGTTTCCCTTTCATTTATTTGTTTACCTGATTCATGTCTACCTCCCTTACTGGGATTTAAATGACAATGGCAAGAACTTTGTCTGTCTTGTTCTTCATTAAATCCCCAATGCCTAGTATAATGCCCAGAATATAGTACTCAACAAATATATGTGAATAAATGGTTAAAACTCAATGCTAAGGTGGTGTTATCTACTCTGTGTGTCACAGAGAAGGGAAATGACTGGGGGTAAAGGATCAAAGCCGGGAGAGAAAACCCTATTTGAAGCAGGTGGCCCTAGTTGCCACATGATCTTGCTACGGGTTTTGTAGCTCCTTAGGGAGAAGGAGTAGCTTTGCCTGTTAAAATGATGCTTTGGGTAGACATCTAGCTCTCCTGTTTCCCAGGCACACTCTGTTATGCACAATTCAGGATTCCACACTCTCTAGAAGGCCCCTTGGATGCAAGTTCATTCTACCTTCCCCTCTTCTTGCTTCTAAGCCACGGGATCATTTTGAAGAACTTGCATGCTCCATCTACAACCCAACTCCTGGGAGAGGAAAGCAATTCTGTTTCCTGGGGGTTTACTTCTTACTCTTGAAGACAAGAATAAGAGAAAAGACGTCATTCTTGAATCATTGAGTTGCTGTCTTTAAAAAACCATTGCTATTTGTAAAACTGGAATACATTTTTTGAGCTCTCCTGTCTGAAACCCAGGCTGAGAAATGTAATTAGAAAATGCACACTTACCAAGAGTTGGAAGCCTGGGAGAGTGCCTTCATCCATCCATCCAGTGCACTGGATAGGGAGAGACATAAACAGAGCACATGGTGTTGGCGTGCACTTTTATTGAGTGAGATGTGATGTTCAGAAAGTCTACAGCACATACGTACCCGAGTGGAAATTCCTTCAGTAACGGTGCATTAAACAATCCAGCCCTCTCTTCCCACATACCCCTACCCTACTGCCCCCCATCCCTGCCCAACCCTTTGCTCTTTCTTACACATGGTTTTAGAAGAGCATCTCGCCATGGCTGGGTCAGAGTAGGGTGTCACCTTCTTGAACCCCTCAGGGAATGTTTGCAGTATATTGCTATTTTCTCTGCTGGGTGCACTTGTGGTAACACCACAGAAGCCCGCTCTACCCTGCTGCCTCCTTGGTTTGCAGGGCTCATGTTAGATGCCAAGTCTTAGAATATTAAAATATGACCAACTCCTTCCTCCTTCCTTCTGCCCTCCTTTCTCTTCTCCAAGCAAGTGCTTATCTACAATCTATTGGTAAAGGCTTACTCCCTGGAATGGTGAATTTCTCTTTCTGAATGTGTTCTCCCTGCCTCGGGTTCCCTGGGTCTTTGGCATGAAGAGTACATGTCAAGGGCAGATCAAGGCAGCTGGGGTCAGAGGCAGCTGTGCCCGTCCAGCAAATTTTCAAGCTGCCTGGCTTTGTGCCTGGTGGGTCTCAGAGCAGTTTAGATGACAATATGGGTAGCCCCAGAAAGCATTGGCAGTGGTCTTGCAAAGGGCAACAGAGCTCTGGAGGCCCTTCTGAAACAGGCCAGGAAGCCCTCCTTAGGTCTCACACTGGACAGTAGTGACAGAGGCAGAACCATCACTGAGTCAATGTCACAAAGGTCTGCTACTGCACATCAGTGTAGTTACAAGACCTAAAAATGAACGTGCAGGGAAAGAGCCCCCTCTGTGCCTATCTGCCTCCCACTCCCCACCTCCCACTGTGCAAATGATCCGATGATGCTGATATGGTTTGGCTCTGTGTCCCCTCCCAAATCCCATCTTGTCGCTCCCATAATTCCCATGTGTTGTGGGAGGGACCCAATGGGAGATAAATGAATCACGGGGGTGGGTCTTTCCTGTGCTATTCTCGTGATAGTGAGTCTCACAAGATCTGATGGTTTTAAAAAGGAAGTTTCCCTACACAAGCTTTCTTCTCTTGTCTGCCACCATGTGAGGCATGACTTTCACCTTCCGCCATGATTGTGAGACCTGCCCCAGCCACATGGAACTGTAAGTTTATTAAACCTCTTAAATTGCCCAGTCTCGGGTAGACTTTATCAGCAGCATGAGAATGAACTAATACAGATGCCTCTCTGAAATTTTAGAGGTTTGTATACTTGCTAGGAAAGTTAGAAAAAACAACCAATCTTCCCTTTCCAGATTCTTCCTCTGAGTGGACTGCATGAGGAGATATCTGTAAGAAATTGTGGGTAGATAGCTCAGACAGAAAAAAAAAAAAAAATGCACTTTAAATTGACAAATCAGTCCAAACCACGAAGGTTATAACTCTTTTTTTTTTTTTTTTTTTCCTTTCCAGAAGAACAGTAAAACAGACTTGTTACTGGCAGCCCATTAGTGCTCAGGAGAGGCGGTCTCCAGCATGACATCAGCCGGCCGCTCGACCCAAATCTAGTATTTCACCAGAGAGCCTTGCGCTGCCGGCTTTCCAACTGTGTGGAAGACGTACATGGGGGAGAGGGAAGAAGGCATAAATAAGATACAGACTGGAGACTTTTTGATGTGTTTAGCACATTTTTGTGATTTCCTTTAATACGATAGGCCTTGCATAATCTCCCATTAGGAGAACAAAAGACAAGCCTGAGATGGGATGGAGAGTGGGTAGAGAGGGGGATCCATGCCATAAAAAGTTCACTTTGACTAATTAGCATTTTTAATCCAAATACTTAAAAGGGGAGGTGAATTGGGAAGAGAAGAATGAATGCCACAGCCGAGTGACTGCAGATATAAAAAGTCCCTTCATTAATTCGGTTGTTTTTTAATTCCTAATTGAACTTAAATAAAGAGGACCTAGAGGCAGCTGTTTCTAATATCGAGTCCCCACCGCACATGAAAGACGCATTTATTCCTGCAGCAGCCTCCCTACCCTTGGGTGTTATCAGCTGAACATGTTTTGAACCTACCTAATGCATTTGAGGTAGCTTGGGTTTATTTTTCTTTCAATAAAATAAATGGTTTTGTAATTAAATTTCTGCACTGCCTCTGCTTAATGGTTACATTGACAAGTGCTAATGTATGGCAAGAGAATGAGTTTGAAATGAAACATGCTGTTTTCGAATCTGCAAGCAATTTTGCAGTGGGGCAATCAAACCCCTCATGCCAGCGAAACATTTTCATTAATCTGCTCACTCCGCCCCTGCCCACTCCGGCCGGGCGAGGACACTTTTTAGCTTCCCCTTTGCCCAACCCCCACCCTTGCCTTTTTCTAAACACACACACTCACGCACACACGCGCGCGCGCACACACAAATAGCATGAAGCCAGCCGTTGTTTGAAACCATTTTGTGGTCCCTGGCTGGCGGGCCTGTGGAAATTCGCTGACTTTACACCGTGAAATGTTGCAGCTGTCTCTCTTCTCCAAAAGGAAGGCCAGCCTCCATGTTTCAATCCCTGGCAGCGAGTCAATAAGAAAATCTGTCCTTCTGTTTTCCTTTCCTTTTTTTTTTTTTTTTTAAACTTTCCTCCCCCCTTAGCTAAATTTATTTTTGAATAAATCTTCTCATAGAAAATAGCGAACAGCTATTACATATCTGGACTCGGTCTGCGTAAACCACTTCAAGCCACAGCAAAGGAGGCGAACTTCCAGCCTTGAGCCTGTAGAAGGTTCATGAATGGAAACCTGGATGGGTGGGTTGTGGTCTTGGCTGGCTCCACTTCTGCCCACAGCCCAGGAAGGGGGCCCTGTGTCTCCTGCTCAGGCTTGCACAGGTACAGACGGGGGACACAAGACTCTTGGCTCTTTCTCTGCTCCTTCCCTGGAAGCCTGCGTTTCGTCTGACCGCTAGAGGGATGGCTTCCCAGGGTGGCGGCTGTCTGGAGCCTGCGAGGCCCCCTCATCAAAGGCCAAGAAGTGGGTACGAGGCCCGGAGCTGACTGGGGCATGGGGAGATGGAGAGCAGCAGGGGAGCCTCTGGTTCCATGGCTGCCCACAAGGTGTGCGACTCAGCATTTTCTCCCTAGGCTGGGGGAGGAGAGCCAGAGGGCTGACCACATGAGTGCTGACTCACCCGTGGGACGGGCCAGAATCACAGGCTGTCCTCCCCTCCGCATGGCTCCCTCTTGCTGCTTTTAGGACGGTATTTAGGGGAAGGGCTTCTGTGTGGTCCGGGCCTCCCTGAATTTATTGCAGGGCAAGATAAAGGAGAGAGACAGTTGCTTATGGCATTCAAGGAGCAGGAGGAAGGATCTCAGTCCCTCAGAATTCCCCTGCCCATTTCCTAAGTCCTGAATTGCCTTTCCTAGGAGACGATGCCTTTCATTTTATCATTCAAAAAGAAGCTTGGATGCAGAAGTCCTTGGGAAGCAGACATAGAGACTGAGATCTCCACTTAGGTGTACATGACGGGCAAGGCAAAGCCCATCATGAGAGGGAGAAGGAAAAAGAACTTGGATTACCTGGTGTGTTAGTCTGTTCTTGCACTGCTATAAAGAAATACCTGAGACTGGGTAATTTATAAAGAAAAGAGGTTTAATTGACTCATAGTTCTGCAGGCTGTACGGAAAGCAGCAGCTTCTGCCTCTGGGGAGACCTCAGAAAGTTTCCAATCATGCCAAAAGGTGAAGGGGGAGTGAGGCTTCTACATGGTGGGAGCAGGAGCAAGACAGAGTGAGCGGGGAGGTGCTGCACGCTTTTAAACAGCCAAATCTTGTGAGCACTCACTCACTATCATGAGAACAGCACCAAGAGGATGGTGCTAAACCCTCGTGAGGAAGCCGCCCCCGTGATCCAATCACCTCCCGCCAGGCCCCAGCTCCAACACTGGGGATTACAATTTGACATGAGATTTGGTGGGGACACAGATCCAAACCATTTCAGCTAGTATCTGAATGGTAGGAGGGGAAATCTTGGCCAGGGCAGAGGGCAAAGAAGTGGGGGAACAAGTGTTAGGGCTAACAGACAACTTCACAGCAGCCCTGTGAAGGGGGCAAAGTTCCTCTTTTAAACGGCTGAAGATTAATGAAAGTCAAGACTTAATCTTATCCAGAGTAAAGGGGCAGAGAGGTCCAGCCCCAGGAGGAAGAATGGACAGCAGTGGGGAAGGGAAGCTGGGAGGGCTGCTCTGTGGGCCTTGGCAGGGTCTTGGCTATGCTCCTGATAAAACTGAGCTATTAATATGTGAAAGTGCTGTGATCTGCCACTCAGCATACCATGAAAGTTATCATAGTTACTATACCCATAAAACAGTGGAGTACTTCATTCATTCCTTCAGCAAATAATAATTTCACTTCTCACATTCATTCATTCATTCAGCAAATAATAAGTTGCCACTATCAAATAACAATAAGAGCCATATTGCTAGGCTCTTTCAGGATACAGGCATAAAAAAGACAAGGATGAAATAAGTCCTGTGATGGAGAGACAGGCAAAATGCTACCTGACTTCAGAGGAGGAAGAAGTGTGCTGTGCCAGGAGGAACAGGAGAAAGCTTCATGAAAGAGGTGAGCCTTACAAGCCAAATAGGATTTCAAAAGGGGAGGATAATGTTCCAAGGCAAGCAACCAGCGAAACACAAAGGAATAAAAGTAAAAATTGTATCTGGGGAATGATGAGTGGTCCCAAATTAATGGAGGAGAAAGTTAGGCACCTGCGGGGTGTGTGTGGGGTGTGTGTGTGTGTGTGTGAGTGTGTTGGTGGGGGTGGAAAGTGGAATTAGGAGTTTTTAGATGGTTTGTTTTGCAAACTGGAGATAACCCTTAAAGGTTTTAGAGACTTGCGGATGGAGTGAGTGGTGATACAACGCAACCTATATGTTCGTAATTGAACCTGTAAGCCATAAAAAGGACAAGCTGAGAAGGGATGATATTAGAGGCAGGTGGACCAGAGGCTATTTCAGTAACCCAGGTCAGAGAGGAGGACTGGCAAGGCAAAGGCAGTGTTCCTGGAGGGAGGGGATGGGTGCTGGGGAAACTGCAGAAGTCAGGGGCAGCCAATCAGGTGTGGGGGAGGAAGGGAAGTGCCATCAAGTAGTCTGCTCTCTTCAGGGTGCCTGAGAAGGTGACCATGGGCAGGACAGAGACTGGGAACTCTGAGAGAGAAGTGGATTTGGGGAAAGGGAAAACACCAGTTCCAACTGGACACATGGAGTTGGAGTTGGTGGTGGTGACTGTCATGAAGGACTATCCAGGAAATAGTAAACAGATAAATGGAACAAAACAGAAGGAAGGCAGAACTCTGAGGAATGCCCACATCGAGGGAAGCCAGTGCAACAGACAACACCGAATGGCAGGGTTAGTAGGAGACGGGCCATGAGGAAAAGGGAGGGAAGTTCCAAGAAGAAAGGCTGGAAGGTATTTCTGGTGCTTCAAGGAGACCCAAGAAGGGGAGATCGTGAGGCAGTTGGGTTGGGCAATAAAGCAGAAGCTGAGCAGGGTTTGGGAAGTAGAGGCAGAAAGATTTCCCACCTGGCTTTAAAGAATTTTCACCATGATGGCTGCATGGAAAGTTTTCTTTGGGTGATGGGACCTTGATCAATATTTAAAGAGGAATCATAAGGAGAGATTGAAAGGCACCCAAAAGGGGACTCTGATGGAGCAGGATTACAGGAGGGGCAGGAAGGGGTGGAGCAGGTGGGCTTGCAAAGCAGCAGGAAGAAGGTACAATAGACCAGAGAACAGTTAAGGTAAACACAAGGGGTGCGAGGGTGCAGGCAGCCTCCTGGGGAAGGAAACAATGAGATCCTGTGCTGAGTGAGGGGTGGGGACAAAGGTGATGGGAAGAGAGAAGTGGCTTGGAAATTTGAGGCAGGGAGGACACGGAATAGAAAGTCAGGCGGGAATGAATAATAGGGCATTGAGAAGCTGAAGATGGAAGCCTGACTCTGCAACAGCCTGGTCTGCACAGTCATGACATTTGCTCCAGCCTTTCTGGGCAGTCTGGAAGCAGAAACAGAAGCAAAGAAGCTAGTGGCGGGAATGCTCCAGCTATGGACAGCACTGCAGCCGCAGTGGACAGCCAGAGACACAGGACCTTAGATGATGATCAGAGAGAATTTTACAGCAGGAAGCCTTTTTGTTGATATGGGTGACCTTCACCTCCAAGACCGGTACAGCCTTGTCTTGGGTTAAATTTGGAGACCAAATTTGAAAAAGTTTTACATAAAAAATATATACCGGCCAGGAGCGGTGGCTCACACCTGTAATCCCAGCACTTTGGGAGGCCGAGGCGGGTGGATCACGAGGTCAGGAGATCGAGACCATCCTGGCTAACATGGTGAAACCCTGTCTCTACTAAAAATACAAAAAATTAACCAGGCATGGTGGCGGGCACCTGTAGTCCCAGCTACTCAGGAGGCTGAGGCAGAAGAATGGCGTGAACCCGGGAGGCAGAGCTTGCAGTGAACCAAGATTGTGCCACTGCACTCCAGCCTGGGCAACAGAGCGAGACTCCGTCTCAAAAATATATATATACACACACACACACACATACACACACACACACACACACACACACACACACACACACACATCTTTCCCAGAAAGAATTGTGAACCAGGAATGAGAACAAATTCCTGTTGTAGAAGAAGTTGTTTTTCTTCTTTCCTTTGGCTTTCCTGTGCTGTGTGATCCAAGCAGATGACTTAAACTTTTTACTTATTCCTCCTATCTGCCGGCCTCTGGGACACATTCTGCTGATTTAATAACTTTCTGAAAGAAATTGCTGCCTAATCTAAGGCAATTTCACTAAGAAAGTGGTTTCATTCTATAGAATTCTATAGTGTTTGCCCTCTCCTTACAGCAGTAAAACAAAACAAAAACAAACAAATCCAGTTTAGTCAAAACCTCACTGGTCTTTTGACTTGTTCTTGATGTTCAATGGGGTTGTTGAAGCTAAACAGATATTAAATAAATTCTACCCAGTTTAGTTTGGGAAATTAAACGCTGTCAGCCGTGGTCAGATCTGCACACTCCATGTGGATAGAGAATGCTAGCATTGGTTACGATTGCCTTAAGTGCTTATTCTCTGATCAAGAGGCAGCATCTTAGCCTCTGCCAGAGTGGAGAAAGGACTGTACCATGGGTACCATCCACCATGACCCACCTTACTGACAAGAGGCAGTCATGCATGGGATCTGTTCTTCCTGTACCCCCTTCGGGCATCTCCACATTCCTCCCCAAAGCCCTAAGGAGACTTTTGAAGCCACTCTTGGTCTCCTATTAACTTAAGGCTTGGGTGCTGGCTGTTAGCAAGCCAGGGTGGGGCAAAGAAGACCAGAGCCCGAGAAAGGCCTCCCTGGCATCAGCAGCCCCGGGGCCTGTCCAGTCTAGAATTCATGACTACTGAGACACTCAGGTGTGGCTTGGGGATGGGACTATGAGGAGCCATTTCCACAACCCCAGAAGGCAGAGCGTGGACTGAACATTCAGAGAAACAGCTATCATGGTGTAGCCAAATACTCCTGTGAGCTCTTCATATTTTTCCCTCAGGGCCACATCGAGGAAGAGTTAATTTCATGAATTGACTTCCTACTGTCTTAAGTGGATATATCTTTCTCTCCTAGCTTCCAATGGAGCCATTTTACTTTTACCAACTCGAATTTGATGACCAACCAAAGTGAGAAAGAAGCAAATGACTACTATGAGGAATCTTTGATGCACCCTTTGCTAAATGTTCACCTTTGCTAAATTGTTTCACTGCATGCCTATTATTTAGGGAGTTTTATCTCCATTTTACAGATGGAGAGTTAGGCTGTAATATTTGCACCACCTAAGTTTGTTCTCCACGTTTTATCTGATTGCCTAGCCTATAATACCATTATATGTTGCCCTATTGCAACTTCTGTCTTTCCAAATTAAAGAATCGATACTCCATGTCGGTGTATGTGGGGAAGAGGGATAGATATCTAAACATATTGGCTGGAAACTACTACATCTTTCATCAAGTATTATTAAGACCTATAATATGCTCAGCACTGTAGGGAACAAGTGGAAAGAGGGCTCTCACCTGCAAAGACACTGCTACCTGTTTTGGGATACACAGAAAAACATGTCCACTTGCCTTCCACTTGTCTTCCTTGCAGCTGAGTCCCAGAGGCACAGGTCGTCATTTCAAGATGCAGAACAAGCATCACAAAATAATTCTAAGGATCCAGTGAGCTCCAAGGAGACTGCTGCCACAGCACCATCCCATACTGCTGAGTCCCAGAGTAGTCTTCTTCTGTGGCGAATGTGCTAGGGGCAGAAGGCACTGTTAGGTCCTCCAACCGACTGCCCCTCACTGTGCTTCCTGGATGACTCCACAGGATCCTGGAGGAAGACAGCTAAAATGAGAAGAGCAAAATGGAAGTGGTCTGGTGAAGAGAAGCAAGTTAGCTGAGCGTGCTGAGGCAGTCTTATGTAGGAGAACTCAGTCTCAATTTATGGAGTATCAGAATTCAGCCTCCCTGTGGCTCTGAACTCTGCTTAAAACTTCCAGGAAGGAAGCTTCACAGAGGAAGGAAGGGGAGAGGGAGGACAGCAAGGACAATTCCCACAGTGAGTGGGTGCCTGGCCTGGGATGGTGGAGGGTGAAACTTGAAGGCTGGCTGCTGAAATGGGCAGGGAGGGCTGGGTGAGTTGGGGCTTATGTGCTCATTATGAGAAATGTCTTAATGACCGTGAGTCCTGAGGGAGGCTGGAGAGCAATGCCTGGCGCCAGCCACGCTTGTACAGGGGCTCCTGTCCAGGTGAAAAACATGTACAGAGTGAGCGAGAAGACAGACGGGACTGCGTGGCTGCTGAAGGTGACTGATGGCCTTGGAATGCAACTCTGACTCCTGTGGGATTGGGTTTTACTGGAATGAGACACAAAGATTAGTGACTTTCAGCTGAGAAGGAATCTTAGTTCTTGGTTTCCAGAACTGAGTTTCTTCACGGTTCTTTGGGAGTTTCATTTGTGTTCTCCACCTCTAGACCTCTGCTCAAGACATTTATTCCTTCTTCCCATGAGTCCATATCCTACTAGGCCAGCCCAGGCCTCACCATTTCCATGAAGTCATCCTTGATGGTCTAACTTGACGCCTCTCTCCTCAAACCTACTGACCTGCCGCGGGCAGAGGTGATGTTAGTGTGAGATTCTCCAACAGGGATATGTGTTTAAGGGGAACATTTGTCTTCACAGAACCTTGAAGTTACTCAAAAATTCTGGGAGAACAAACCAATAAGATTTAATATATCAAAAGATTTTATGGAGTGACATGCAAAGTTAACAAGCATATTTAAATTAAAGCTGAGACTTCAAAACAATTTCATGAGACTGGAGGGCCACTTTGAGCCATACTCAACTGGGCATCTGCTTGCTGTCGTCTCCATGAGAGAACTTTAGCAGATGAGTTTGAGGAGTAGGCAATGTGATGTCAGGAGGCATAGGAGGGCCTCCTCTTCCTGGAGGCTGGGCAACAGGAAGTTGAAGCCTTGCTAATTGAGAGCAAAAGGAAATTGTTTTATTAAATTGCAGTTAAAAATAACAGCAAATACTATTTATCACATACCTCCTATATGCCAGGTACTGTACTAGTTGCATTAGACGTTTTATTTCAATCAATGCTCATAAGTCAATGAGGTAAATATCACTCCCCACTCTACAGCTGATGAAGTCAAGCCACAGTGAGGCAATATAATGTCCCAAGTCAAATAGCTAGTAAGATCAAGGTCCAGGATATGATCCTGAGTCTAATGGACTCTTAGCTTCTCTGCCATGCTGCTGTGGGTATATCAAGGAAGAAACCTGAAGCTTATGTCTCCACAATGCATCACAGGCATTCCCTAAAGTTTCGTGATTTTTATGTTGGCCCCAAATGTTGACCTCTTCTGTTGCACGTCCAGACTCTAGGTCATATGGAGAGCTCGGTTTGCCCTAGCGGTTCCTCCCCATGCAGGGGATCCTGGACCAGGTGTGTGGAAACCTCACCCCCCTAGCAACATCTGGAAGGTCTTGCTCAGCCCCCAGTTGACTTATCTACCAGAAAAAGAGTGGCTGATCTGGTCTATCCTTGTATAAGTTTGGGAAATCACCAAGTCAGATTTCAACATCAATAAGCGGCCAGGTGTGGTAGCTCACGCCTATAATCCCAACACATTGGGAGGCCAAGGCGGGAGGATCGCTTGAGTCCAGGAGGTGGAGGTTGCAGTAAGCTGATATCATGCCACTGTACCCTAGTCTGGGCAAGACTCTATCAAATAAATAAATAATAAATAAATAAATAAATAAATAAATAAAGTCCATATACAAGAGATGAGGATCAGATTTGTGGGCAGCCAGGGGGATGGCTGGTTGTGATTCTTTTCTGCATAAGGACGTAAGAAAAACTCAGGGTGAGAAATCAAGGCTGGAGTCCTTTACTGGGACAGTTTATCTGCAAGAACTTTTCCATTCAGTAAGCATCCTGGTTGGTATTTTTCACTGTGGTTGCAGTGAGGAACCCTGGTTATTTTTAATAACATATACACATTCATAGCATTCATTCAGTCCTATAGCATTTTATGATGTGTCTGACTCAGAAAAATGTGTGGCCAGTTTAGGGGGATGGGGACGCTGTGTCTTCATTCTCTGCCCGCTTTTAGCCTTCCCTTTCCTTGGCACTTTCCTGCAGGAAGAGTGGGTTTTGACATCCCAAGCACACTTTTCCACTGTCTCTTGGATATTCCTCATCTCCCAAAAGGCCCATGTAACTTTACACTGCACAAATTCATGTTTCAGGGACTTGCCAAATCTTGTCAAGTCCTAAAGTTTTTCTTGGCAGCGACTGCACCACTCCACGGAAATGGATCGGGTGAATCCATCGGGACTTGGTGCCACTTCTCCCGGTGCCGTGTGCAACTGCTGGGTCTTTCCTGACTCCCTTCCCAGGCTCCGTGAGTACTGGCATACCCTGTGTCCGGCCTCTTCCAAGCCCACTGATTTCCGAGAGCATCAGCAGACTTCAGCACCTCCCAGGCCAGGGCTTGCAGGAACATCAGTTAAGCAATTGCTTTATCTTTGTCACCTCTGCCCACTCACCCACCACCCCTTGCCTTCACTGCCCCAACCATCTCTTCTAGTGGCTCCAATCTTTCAAATTAGAGGGGAAAGTCAGTCATCCACTCAACTAGTATTTATACAGAGTATTTATGCAACTCAGTTCCTTGCCTTAGGCACTTAATAGTGAACTTAACAGTGAACCAAACAGACAAGGGCCCTGCCCTCATAGCACTTACATTCTAACACATCTAATAATAAAGTTCTAAAATGAAGTTAGGGTGATGTATTTGCAGCTACTGTTCACTTTTCACTTTCACATGTATGATTGCACTTGTTTCTTTTAATAGCCTTTGAAGTAGGCAAGACATTTCACAGAGGAGAGAACTGAGGTTTCTTTCTATCTTTTGTTCTTTTTTCTTTTTCTTTTTTTTTTTTTTTTTTGAGACAAAGTTTTGCTCTGTCGCCCAGGCTGGAGTGCAGTGGTGTGATCTTGGCTCGTTGCAACCTCCGCCTCCTGGGTTCAAGCAATGCTCCCCACTCAGCCTCCCAAGTAGCTGGGATTACAAGTGCACGCCACCATGCCTGGCTAATTGATTTTGGTATTTTTCTTAGTAGAGACGGGGTTTCACCATGTTGGCCAGGTTGGTCTCGAACTCCTGACCTTGTGATCCACCCACCTCAGCCTCCCAAAGTGCTGGAATTACAGGCGTGAGCCACTGCGCCCAGCCGAGAACTGAGGCTTCTTTCTAATCATCCTCCTCCCAGGATGCCTGCTTCTTAAAAAGAAGAGTCTGGAGAAGTACAGTGAAACCCAAAAGGAATGAGCACCAGCCAGGAGCAGTGGAGTGTGCCTGTAGTTCCAGCTACTCAGGAGGCTGAGGCAGGAGAATCGCTTGAGCCAAGGTGTTCAAGGCTACAGTGAGCTATGATTGTGCCACTGCACTCCAGCCAGGGCAACAGAGGGTAATACAGCAAGATCTGTCTGACAAAAGAGAAAAGAAGAGAACAGAAGAGAAGAGAAGAGAAGAGAAGAGAAGAGAAGAGAAGAGAAGAGAAGAGAAGAAGAGAGGAGAGGAATGGAGTACTGATGGTGAAACTGATGGTGGAAGTTGGAAATCCAGGTCTCTGTGGAGACACTATTTGGGACTGAGAGACCTCTTTGGTCTTTCAAACCTGTGAGCCAAACCTTGCCCAACACCTGTTTTGTATAATCCACAAGTCAAGAATGGTGTTTATATTTTTAAATACTTGAAAAAAATCAGTAGAAGAATAACATTTTGTGACATGTGAAAATTATATGAAATGCACATTTCAGTGTCCATAAAGTTTTACTGGAACGCAGCCATCCCCATCATTTATACATTGTCTATGGTGGCTTTCACGCCTCAGTGGCGGAGTTAAGTAGTTGTAACAGAAATTGCATGTGGCCTAAAAAACTTAAAACATTTACTATCTGGACCTTTATAGAAAGTTTACTGACACCAGTTCTAGAATCATGCGGTAGAGACAGCTATTTATATTCCATGTGCATAAAACTGGCCCTGTCAGGCAGGGAGGAATCCCTCTGTCTCATTATGCCTGCGGAAGAGAATCAGAAAGTGGACTGAATGTTGCAGGCTAAGAACTAGTCACTGACATCTGTTTTCTCTTCAGCACACAGAGGCAGCCCTTCTGGGAAGTGTTCTGACAAATTAAGATTCCTTCCCAGCAGAATTGTCAATGTTATTTGCCAAGTTCAGGAGCAAACCTTCACCTTCGGAGGTTCTGGGCTCCTAGATGGGGGTCTCTGCAAATTTAAATAATAATATTTATACCTATGGAAAGAACATAGGACTAACAGAGGAAGTGGGTTCAAGTCCCTCCCCTGCCACTTAATAAGTGGTGTGGTATTGAGCAAATCCTTAACCTTAATGAGAAAGAAGCCTCGGTTCTCTCCTCTATGAAATGGCCCACCTTGCCTACTTCAGAAACTATTAAGAGAAACAAGTGCGACCATACGCATGAAGGTGTTTGTAAAGTGAACAGCAGCTGCAAATACATCATTCTCTCCCTTCCTATGAGTGGGTAGTAATATTGTTGAATTCTCTTCCTTCATTCTTCTTTGTCTATGGAGACCCAGTCAGAGGGTCAAGGTGAAGGATGCCTGCAACAACATTCTCCTTCCCTTCAGTCTGGGTTTCCGCCTGCCCTGAACCCCACCTCCCACCCCCTCACTCCAGATTCCACCTACTCTCTGAAATCAGCTTTAGGGATTCTCGACCACATGGTGGGCAACCGACCTCACACAATCAAATGAGAACAGCCCTGCAGTTCTTCCTCCAT